TATAATAGACAGTTGTATATTCTATAGCAATTCCAATAGGAGAGAATATATGTAGCTCAGGGTTGAACTGTGGAGGCCCTGGTGCTCTCCCAACTTGGGTGGTTGCTTGCAGGTGTTTCATTATCCATCTGGGTAATATCATCAGTGATGACATAGGCAAGCAAACAATCAAGCTCAGACAGTACCAAGAACTCCACAGTCTATAGCAAGTATTATAAGGTATGCATAATATTATTAGACTCTTCAGATCTTCACTTCATTTGCCATTCCAAATTTATGTGACAGTCACCTATGTCGTATGAAGCCTTTGCTTCAGATGCTTTCATTTAATTGTAACAATGCCAGCCAAATGGATATCCTTGTGTTTTAAAGCAGGTTCCTTTTTTTTCATTTAACTACAGACAAAATCCTCTGTTGGAGATACACCTGATTCTTTGCCACAAGCATTAGAAGAGTTTTATGTCTCCATTACTCATTCCAAGGAGACAGGAAAGCTGAGCCAGGATGAGTTGGATGTAAACAAATCATCTGCTTGCCTTTCCCAATCTCTTCCATCAACATCTGTGTGGCATGGTATGTGTGAGCTTAAAACAGTTTTTACATATGCATTGATCTAATGATATTAACCTTGCTCTTGCTACAGTATTATTAAACTAGTTGCCAAAATGTCATGCCCTATTAAAATGAATTTGTAGCTGAGGATACTACAAAATAAGATTTAGTAGAGATGACAAAAACATCAACTTTTGAACCATATAAGGTGTCTGTTAAATCCTAGAACTAAATTCTGAGATGGCGGGAGTGATGGCCAACCAGAATAGTATGAAACATACTGATTCTGAAAGGGTTAACATTTAAAGTAAAAATGTGGGGGAGCTTTGGGTGGAAAATAGGGAAATCTTATTGATCTGAATGCCTTGGGTACTAGTTTGTGCACAGCAGATTCTATAAGCATTGTTTCACGTATGGAATTATCATCCAGTCTAGACAGAGGTTTCCTTTAGGGACATGAGAACAACTTCCTTTACTCTGTTAGCACTTCCTGTTCATGATGAGAGTTGTGTTTTGTTGAGTAACTTAATATGACCTGTCTTCATGTTTGTTTAATCAAAGATACCATCAGCATTATTTAAGGAGAAGACATGGGAAAGTAGAACCTATGCTTACATTGTAGAAACGTGAACTAGCCAAAGTGAGATTTGTCAGGGCAAACAGCTGGATCCAAGCCCTATAACAAATAACTTCTGCCCATTTTTTCTTCTCTTTACTATGCAGGAAGAGCTTCTTCAGAGAACAAGGTCAATGATGCTCCTGGAACGGTTTCCATATATAATGCTAATAATTACACTGAACCTAGTACCATTGATCATAATGCCTTGGTCTTCACTGCTGAGCTTCAGGGGTCTCCAAAATTCTGTTTTCCTTGCAGTCCAGTTGTTGCCTTGGGAGCATCTGCACAATTAGCTGCCTCTGGTGGATATTTCTCCCTTAACCTGAGGAAGGGGAAAATATGAGAAAAGTCAGTATGTAGATGTATGATTTTCAAAATACTTCAATGTTCATCTAGTTCACTAGACAGTGGTTAAAAAAAAAATCTTGTAATTTGAGCCTATGGAAAATTATAATTTAGAGCCCAGCTGAAATTTGGGCAAATGATGTGATGAGAGTTCCTTTTTTCCCCCCATGTATTTCTTTTCCTGTTGTATATTTCTGTTAACTTTGCTACTCTTAATATAATGGTTTTACAAATAATCAGTGAACTGTCTTATTTAAAGTTGTGTGCATATTTTTGTGGGCTGCCCAGAATTGTTGAGAGTTGGGAGCAGCATACAAGTTTAATATGTTGTTGTTGTGTTGTTATATTAAGCTGCCAAGACTATTGTGATTTTCCTGGAGTGAAGAACACGCTGATATCTTACTGTACACATTGGGAACATCCATGCTACCCATAAAGTACACAAAGGTATATCATGTCATACAGCATAGAATGGTTCTGAATCTATTTAAAGTACAACCAGACTTGATAGAACATCTGATCAGAGTCTGTTCTGTTACGTCAAACTTTGCAGGTAGATTCAGGAAAATGGCCTCAGTCTAAAAGGTTTCATAGTCACTAATGCACAGTGGAATGATGTTGTGCATGTCACCCTGACGTTTATGGAGCTGGGGTGCAATAGAACAAGAATAAAGATAAAGATAGTTTTATAGTCAAGGCAGAAGAGCTGTATAGTTTCCCCATGGTGATAAAAATATACTAATTAGGAACTCTCACCTTGCTGCCATGAAGTGGTTCATGTGAGACAATTTACTAGATTCTGCTTAATGGTTGGACCAGCCTTAGTAATAACCAGGCAATGTTATTCTGTTTCTTTAAAATGTATACACAGTTTTCTGGAAAAGAGCTTGAATTAATACCAATGCTGTATTTGGTCTTCTCAGCAATTCCAACAGCTTGCGTTAAAATGAAATATTCTGTCTCAGTATTTTCCTGCACATGTGCAATGTGGGTGGGAGTGAGTTGTTTATGTAGCATTAACTGCTGACTGTTTCTAATGAAACTGCAGACATGTTGCATCAGCAGCTTTCTTTTTTTTCCAAATAACTTTATTAGATTTTTAAGATAAAGAGATTAAAAACTAACAAGAACTAATATTAAGATAGAAAGTAGAGAAGAGAAAAACGTAAAGAATTGAAAACAAGGTCAAAAGTGCAGAAGGAAAAAGAAAGAAAAGTACAAAAGAAAAATAACTTCAGACTTTCTTTTACAACAGATATAAGTATAAATTGGCTTTAAGCTCTTACACTAAGTTTACAACATAACTCATTTTTTCTGTTGTCTACTATTATTTCTAATCATCAAATCCGTATATCGTGATTTCATTTTTTTTCTGTTTCACGCTAAAGGTCCAAGAGAGGTTTCCAGTCAGCATTAAAGTTAATGTCTTTTCTCTAATCAAAGCTGTCAATTTTGCCATCTCAGCCAGTTCCATCAACTTCACCATCCATTCTTCCACTATAGGTAATAGCAACACTTTCCACTATTGTGCATATAAAAGTCTCGCTGCTGTTATCTTTTACAATAACAAAGTTCCATGGTTTTTTTCCAATTATTTATCAGTCCCAAAAGAAATGTCTCTGGTTTCAATTGTATATTAGTCTTTAAGATTTTCTGAATTAATGTATGAATTTGAATCCAAATTTTTTTAGCTTTTTTACCAAACATTTTTTAAATTTATTTTTTAAATTTTTGATTACAAAAAATATTGTTTGTTGTATAAGTCATTTAAGATCCATTGCCACTCTTGCTATAGAAGTTAAGATACTCTTCCATTGTCTAGGCAATATAGAAACCTTTAATTCTTTATTCCACTCATCCCTTAACATCTGC